TTCTGTTGTTATAGCACAGTCAAATCACCAAGACTATCAATCCTTTTATCCTCAGGGCGTAATCATATTACCAGCTGGGTGTTTGTGTGGGGGGTTTGTCAATGGCATAGCATTACTCTACTGACAAGATGAATGATGTGGATTGTATGTTTTCTGAAGCATCTCAATGCTGCCTGATGTCCACATGCACAGTGTCTCTTAAAAGTATGAATGGGCTGTTTGTCTACCCCATCCTTAGGCACAAAGGTGTCTCCAGAAGAGGTGGTCTGTTGCCAGCTTTTGAGAAGAAAGTGAAGCACAAAAGTTAACCAGATGTTGAAGTGAAATGGGAAAACTGGCAAAACTCATAGTGAAGGTGTGCTGAATGAGAAGCTGTTGACGTTTTGATTCTGTGTCAGTTGGGACTCTTCATTAGGGTCTGTAGTGATAGGACATGGAGAAATGAGTTCAGACTTACACAGGGGAAGTTTAGATTGGATATAAGGAGAAAGTTCTTTACTGTGAGGGTGGTGAGGCACTGGAATGGGTTGCCCAGGGAAGTCGTGAATGCCCCATCCCTGGCAGTGTTCAAGGCCAGGGTGGACAGAGCCTTGGGTGCCATGGTTTAGTGTGAGCTGTCCCTGCCCATGGCAGGGGGGTTGGAACTGGATGATCTTAAGGTCCTTTCCAACCCAAACCATTCTGTGATTCTATGATTCTCCCCCAGCAGACGGGACAACCAAATTCTTCCAGGCAGGAGGTGCTAAGACAAGATGGCAAAGCCAGTTGTTTTCTGCTGGTGGAAGCTGTGCACAGCTCTGTTGGCTGCAATGTATTTCTCTTCATTTCTTCCAGCCAAGAATGTGATCTGTTAGTCCCTAAGGGTTGTCCCTGATATCTCATCTTCCTAGGAAGTGAGGGAACAGCTTGGCTAAGGCTGCCCACGTTGTGTTATGCCACTGGTGAATTTGCTGTTTTGGGTCTATATGGAGCCCCATGCTCAAACCCCAAAAGAGCAACTGCAATGAGTACAGGCTGATATTCTGGTATTTGTAAGCCTTCAAGTCCTTGTTTTTTGGTGGATGCATTTTCTAACCCATGCAAAGAAAGATGCTCGGCTGCTCCTGCTAAATGCAGCTTCTCTACCTTTCCAGGGCAGAAAATCTTCCTGTGCCTAATGTGTTTGCTCAGCAGCATGCACTTCCCTTCTAATTATCTGCTCTATTTGTAGTTCTTGACCTCAGCTGCATCAGTAACATGGCAGGTCTGTGAATCAAGTCCTGGCTTGTTGAACTGCCATTCAGGCCATTTTTATTATACAATATAAAGTACTTCAGTATTAGCAGGAAAACAGACCTTGATAAGTACTTTCTATTGTGCCTGTACTAATGCTGAGAGTCACAGACCTGCCTGTCGGTGACTGGCATTGCATTGGTGGAAATAGTGGGGAAACCAGTAACTAATAACTTGTTCATCCTGGTTTTAAGCTTCCCTCAGAGGTTTTCCTGCAACAGTGCTGCATTAGCACAGACGCCCCAAGTGTATAGACACCTTCAAACACAGAGGCTAAAGCAGTGTCAGGGACTCATAGACAGCATCTACACTTGACTGAGCAGTCTCAAAGGCTTGGAAAACCATGGGGGGCATCTGCCAGTGTGTCTGCAGGCGCGGAGCTCAGGCCAGCCCTGGCTTTGCTAGTGAGGTGGGTTGTCTGCCTGTTATGTTTCAGGTTTAATGGGCTCTGCTTGTAACACTTCAATTTCAGCACATTGCTAAAGTCTGGGTCTGTGGGCTTATCACAACTCTTTATCTGAGGTGGGAAGGGAGGTTGTGTTGATGATGTGCCTGGGTTTTGCTTGCTGATGGCCATGACTTGGGCACAGGAGCAGGAGATGTCCACAGTGTAGAACATGATGTGCTTGAGCAGCCTGTGCTGTGAAGGAGGTTGCCTGCAGTGTCTGGCCCTTCTGGTCTCCTTTAATAAGTGCAGCCATGGGTAGCAGTAACAAACATGCTGGTAGCAACGGCTGCATCCAAGAGGGATGTTGGTGCCCCATCCCTGGCAGTGTTCAAGGTCAGGTTGGATGCAGCTTGGAGCAACCTGGTCTAATGGAAGGTGTTCCTGCCCATGGCAGGGAGTTGGAACTGGAGGATTGTTAAGGTCCCTACCAGCTCAAGCCAGTCTAGGATTCTATGACAAGGAGGTAGCCTTGTCTGCTAAAGCAGTAGAAAGCATTTTCCTGTGATGTGACCTGCCTTCCGTGCTGATGGGGTATACTTTGAGGCTTGGCAAATGACTATCCAGTCCTTTCAAATGGCATCCTGGCCAGCTCTTTGGTCTAAGCATGGTGAAATGAAATGCATTTTAAATGCCCTGGAGTGAAATCTGGTCTCTGACATTGTCTGTGAGAAAAGTCCAATTGGTTTTTCATTTTTAGGAGAACAGGAATTAGCTCTGTATATGCACTGCATGCTATGTGTTGTTATCCTTCTGGCTGGAGGAACACCAATTAAATGAGAAGGAGCATTCTCACATAGCCCTCTGCTACTAGCCTTTATGTATATGGCAAAAAGTATGTAACAAAAAGCGCTTGGTGAGGCAGTTAGTTGAGAGTTGCTTTCCAAAGGCTTACTAGATAGGACTCACTTTTTGACCTGTGCTGGGGCAGGTTTTTTGATTAGGTATGGCTCTCTTTGCCTTTTACAGGAGATGGAGTGAATATCTGAGTGCACCCTGAACAGTCCTTTAGTTAGAGAGGGAATCATGTTGCTGTATTTCCCTCCAAGTATCTTCTAGTTTTCATTTGAGCATCTATAGTCATGTTCTCCCAGTAAATGATTTTCCTTGTAATTCTCTGCATAGATAAGAGCTCCATCATGCTCAGCATGGATTTTTCCGTTTCCAGTTTCAGGCCACTTCTCACTTTTATCCTCTAATTCCTCCTCTCTTCTCCCTGGTATTTATAGGATGCTGTCACCTCTTTTATTCCCCAGTTTGCAAGCTTCATGCATCCTGTTCTTCATAGTCCCTTTATGGGAAATAGCTACTATTGCTTCTGTAGGAGGAAAGAGAGTGGAAAGAGGTTGTAGCTGTTTGCCAGTGTCTCGTTTCAGGAGGCAGCATTCTCTGCACTTAGCCTGTGATGGCCTGAAGTATGCAAAGTGAATTGTAGCTGGGGTCATAGACTTCGTTGATCTATGATTTATGGAGTGAGGCAATTTGGGCAGTTGTCAGTGTTTTGTTAAACCTGGAAGCAAGATTTTGTTCACAGAATGAATGAAAAAAGGAGATGTGTTACAGCGTCATCCTTTGCATAGCTCTCCAGGTCTTTTGAGTGGGCTTTGCTTGAGGGACTTTACGGCCCTATCCTCTTGGTGGGAACAGGGACTGCAGGGTCCCAAACATTGTACAAAGACCCCAATGAGCAGTCTGAACCTCAGCCAGTGCCCCTGTGTGAGCAGAGCCAGACGCCATGGTTTGCCTGCTGCTGTGTTAGATATTTTGCTTACAAGAAACCTGGAGAGGGGCTTGGGACAAGGGCCTGTAGGGACAGGCCAAGGGAAATGGCTTGAACCTGCCCGAGGGGAGACTGAGCTGAGCTCTCAGGCAGAAGCTCTTCCCTGTGAGGGTGCTGAGGCGCTGGCACAGGGTGCCCAGAGAAGCTGTGGCTGCCCCATCCCTGGCAGTGCTCAAGGCCAGGTTGGACACAGGGGCTTGGAGCAAGCTGCTCTAGTGGAAGGGGTCCCTTCCCATGACAGACTCTCCATCTCCACAGGCTCCCGAGCTAGCTGGCTGATCAGTCCTGATTTTTACCCTGATGGCTCTGCCCCTGTACCCTGCAAAGTGCCCTACACACAAGACAGACATGTATGTGTGTGTAAGTGTGTGTGCAAGACCACCCTTCCTAAAGACAGTGCTTGAAACCTTCTTACGAACCTTTCAGTCTTCATTCTTGGTAGGTGAGGAAGAGCAGAGCTGGGCAATAGCTGATGTGGCTGGAGGCACAGGGTCCCTCCAAGGCAAGGATCCCCTCAGCAGAGCATCCATCCCTGTGCACAGGATGCTCAGCGGTACCCGCAGCACTGCCTGTGAAAGTCAGGGCTGTCACTGCAATAGCGTGATGATGAAGCTTAATCACCCTCCGTGTTCAGAGCTTCCCAAACAGCTGTGATGCCTACAAAACTGGGATGATGGTAATGGCTCTTCCGCAAGGAGCCAAGGTTAATCTATAGCGCTCGCCGCTCGCACGTGGGGCTCTGTTATTTGTCACGTTTGCTGTGCCTGTTTCACCGTGACCTCCTCTCCCTTTGTTTGGCTTTGACTCCTGCGAGCGCTGGGGAGGGACAGCTTTATCTGAGCTCATGTGGCACCTGCCTCTGCTCCTGGGTGCTACCGGAACAACAATAGCAACCCAGTGCCTAATTCTTGGGCTTTTCATTCAATTGCTCCCAAGTGTTAAAAACAAATAGTGTTTGGACTGTTGTGAAGGAGCTGATTGCCAATGGCATATATTGAAGGGGTCAATGATATAAAGCAAAATGGCCATTGCAGATTGTGACTGGAATTCACTGGAAACCTTTTTAATTCAGATATTTTTAATAAGAAAAAGATATCCCTACAAATTCTCTTCTGGAAGGATGAGGTTATAATATTACAGCTTATTGCTGCCTACCTCTGTCTCAAAGGTTTTAGTTTGAATTTCTGATTTTCCCTGTTGTTTTTGTTATTTTCATGTTCTATTTTTTTAAGGTAAAGAATTGAGAACATCCACAGGAGGGTTTCACTCAGGTTTACCTTCCAAGACAAAACAATTCAGAAGGACAGCTGGTGCTTGGCAAAACCAGCATCTATGAGCTGCGCAGACAGCAGAGAGCTCATGCAACTCCAGAGCTCAGCAGTCAAATGGTTCTGTCTCCAGCTTGGCCCAGCGTATTCTGTACAGTCACTGCAGGGAGGGAGCAGTGGGGGAGGAGAGGGCAGAGGCTGGTGCTAATGGTTTTAATTTCTCATTTACTATCAGGCAGCACCATATGGAGCAGGATGGAGGATGCAGAGGGAAGAGGGATGCAGAGCGGTTTTCCCTCAGGCTGCTTGCTGGAAGGCAAGGAAAGTGAATTCTCTGCAGGTACCCTGAGCCTTGCCAGAAAAGTGGCTTTTTATGATTGCTAATGGTGGTGAGGATATTTCTTTTAATCAAATGCGTCAGTTTGGGGTATTTTTTTTGTTGTTGTTTTTAATAGGATGAGTGGGATTGACTTCTGCCACTCCAATGTTTTCATAATGCCAGTGCATTATTTTCCTGCAGCATTCACAAGTATGCTAGGCACTTGTCCCAATCAAACAGTATTTGTTTGGAGACCCAGTAGGGTGCCCAGGCATCTGAATGCCTCTAAAAGAAACACCGCTGCTTCGGCTGATTGTGCAATGGCACTTCTCCTCCCAGCTGCATCTGAATACCTCCAATTGCCAGCAGACCTGTGGTGAACAGAGACTCTTTCCCCTGCTTGACTGCTCCTCTGACATCTCTTCCTCCCACAGGTTGCATCGCCTTTATTCCAGTGGCCACTCAAAGCCGAAAGCTTTGCACTTGCTCAGAAGCCAAAGGCTTTGAAAGCAGGTGGAGGGAGGAGAAAAGCATGCCAGGAAAGTGATGCCCTTGACAGTCTCGTGTTGTAACGTTCTGTGCAGAGGGTGCTTGAGAGCTCGTGGGAGCTCTGAGCTCCTTTGAGAAGCATGAAAGGTATGAGTAAAGGTGTGAGTAAAGACTTGGGACGAGCTGTTTAGTAAAACAGCTCCTGACGGGTGCTTTGGAGCTGTGACATCCTGAACCTAACGCTGTGCCTGGTCTGTAGGAACCAGCCTGCTTTGTGTCAGCAGGGAGGCCCCCAGCAGAAAGCCCTTCTAGTCCCTGGGTGATGAGACCAGAACTTGTGCGTGCCTATGTGTGTGTTTAGACAGACAGTGTTCATCCAGCTCTGGTGCCTCTGCTAGCAGGGTGCCTCTCGAGCCTCAGGGAGCACATAAATCTATCGGCACTTCAGCTCCCCTCCAGCCTCACGCACCCTCGGCTCAGCATGCTGCAAATTTCAGTGATTGAAAAAGCATTATTTGCCAGCTTCTCTCTCTTTCGTTTATCTTTTATCTTTTCCTTGCGCTGAGGTCATTGTTTCATAGCTGCGAGGCTACAGCCTCATGACTCCATCTCTTAATTGTCTTTTAGGACTCCTTGCCTTATCCATAATGGATTTGCAGTGCAGTCAGAAATGAAAAGTGATGTTTGTAAAACGTTGGGTTTAGGGTAGCTCAAAAAAACCCCCTTAAACATCTCTATGATGAGTCTGACTCACGGCTCCATTGACAAAAAGTACGCATAAACGTGTCAAAAATGTTCTTCTTGGTACGGTTTTGAAATGAAGAGGTACTTGATGTCCAACTATTGATCTTCCTTTAGAAGTTCTACCTTCTATAATCTGTTCTCAAAAGCCTCACTGTGTTCTTCCCAAAGGGAAATAGGCATTTAAATCAGGTGATTGTGCACTGAGCATCTTGGCTATGCTGCATATTCATATTGCTTTGAGCAGCAGCAGATAACTGAAGAACTCTTAATGGAGGGGTGGTGAAGTGCTGTGGTTGGTTTCAAGCTTCTGCTTCCCCCTTCGGGTCTCTGTAAACCCGAAAGAAGTGTCAATAACCTCCAGTGAGAGATAGTGAAGGAATGTCTGGTGCCCCTCATGGGAACAGGCTGGGGGAAATTAGCACAAAACACATAGGAAAAAGCCTGCTGTGTGTATGAAGCCCATCCTGGCTGGTCTTGCTTCAGGTGAGACAGAGACCCTTTCCATCATGTCATTGGGCTTCTCTCTTATAGAGCCTAGCACCTGTCTTGGTCATGGCATTTGAGACCTTCTGACTCTGTCTTTGGCCCTGGCCATGGCTTAGTGTCCCAAAGTAAGCAATAATTGGCATGCTTGGATATTAAACACATAGAAAGCTGCTGTCAATCTGCATACATGCGTATTTCTTACCTCTCTCTGGTGGCTGTCTCTTAATATTTATGCATTACATCCTAGGGTTGGTATAAAGGAACTTGTTTTCCTTTGTGAAGAGAAGCATGCACAGAGGAAAGTATCTCCTGATCAAAGCAGAAGGCTTGGATTCAGGGTTCCTGACTTGCCTCCCATTTGAGCTGGCTGCTCAGTACCTTATTTTTGTGATGCTCACACTGCAAAACGGATGCAGTACCTGAGTTAAAGCAGTGCAGTGAGTCATGGCCTTTACAGGGACATGCTCAGGTAGCACATACCAGGGTACCTGATGTGCATATTTGTGAAGGTGAGGGAGACCTGAGCTGAATCACTGAACATCTGCCAATGCAGATGAGCTAAATCTGCTGCGGAGTGTTTAGTGTACATGCAGAAGAAAGGCTTGCTTGGAGTCCTTGCTAACTGCTTGCTTCCCTTGTCTGGATGGCAGCCTTCCCAGGCGGTGCATCCAAGTCCTGAGGCAGCAGCCACAGATCATGTCACCTCAGGGAAAGGACCTGTGCTGTGCACAGCACTGACAACAGTGAGGGAGGAGGTCGGAACACGGCTTTCAAGGAGCCGAAGAGGACGGAGGTAGGTGACCTTGAATTGAAAGGGTCTTTATCCTGTTTCAAATCTGAACCTTGCTGGATCAGGACTGGCTAAAATGATTCTCTTCTGCTGGTTGCTCAATGGCCTGCGTGAAGCATAATTGACAGATTTGGCCGTGATGTTGCCAAGTCTTCAGGCTCCCTGTGAGTAACACAATTCTGGCTCCTGCTGTGCAGAGCCTCTCTTGCTGTAACGTGAGGCATTGCTTACTTTCCATGATATTTTAGGGGAGGAAGGCAGTTTTCAACCCCACACAATGACTCACAGCTGAGAGAAACACAAAGCCACAAGCTCAGGGGCTAAGTTTAGTCTGTTGTTTAGTTTGATGCATGCATCTCACGAGACTGCTTTCATACAACTTGTGTTAACATCTGTCCTTCGTTAAGATGGCATTGTGGGTTTTTACATAACATAAGTTTATGCCAGATGATGTTAGGAATAGGCTGCAGGAGCTAGAATCATCCCACCTAGCTGTAGGTGCCTGATGAGGTAGGTCTCTGCTCCTTGAGTCAGAGGAAAGAAGCATTTGTACTTCGAGAGGGTGACCGTTGTGGACACTGCAGAGAGACATCTGGGTCTCCATTGTCAAAAGGGAGTGAGAAGGGTGATGAACCTCTTAACTTGAGCCCTTGGGTGATGAATCTGAACTTGCACTCAGTGAACTTGAGCTGAGATCTCCATAAACGGAGGTCTCTCTCTGCTACAGACCCTCACAGGGGAAATCACAGAGGTGGCTGTGTCCCACTTGGTAGCAGCGGGTCTGTGTGCTGCCCCATGTGGCTCTGTTGGTACCTCCAAGGGGATTAGGACAAGGTGTTGGCACCCCTGCTGTTGCTGACCCAATATGGGGACAGGATCTTCAGCTCAGCTGGATTCTCTCAGCTTTTTGCATCCTTGAGACCCAGGCTCAGGACATTGGATATTGTGCCAGTGCTGGTTTTACTGCAGTGCTTTCCATATTTAATGTGGCTAAATGAGGCTGTCTCTTTAGGAGCGTCTCTGTAGGAAAGATGCATCCTGTGTGCCTAGAAACTGCCTAGCTCTGCTTGGACAAGATTTGAATGGTTAAGCCTAGAAAAGAAACTATGTTTTGAGGCAGCAGGTACTGCTTTCTACAAGGTATGGAGAACTGGCTCAGAAATGGGGCAAATCTTAGTCAGTGCCAACTTACTGGGTAGTATTCAATGCTGGCTCTCCAGTCTGAGCCTTGACTAGTTCAATTATGTCTAGAAATTACCATTCAGTGGATGTTTAATATTAAGTGAATTTGCATGTCATTTCCAAGTCTTTTTCCAGTACTACCATCTGTTCCATTCCCCTGATCTTTTTACCTGACCTCTAAATTGATCTAGTCCCTCTGTTTGGAGGTGAGGACTTGCCGCAGTTCACTAGGGATCAAGAAGGGCAGCAGTCTTCCAGGGGTTAAGCATTTACTGCAGCTAAGACATGTGATTTGGTCAAAGGTTTTATCCCGTGGTGTGAAAACACTGCTTTCTTGCTCCTGCGCAGGAGTGTGGCTTGGGCACTGATTGTTCCCTGCACCTGGGGCTTCAAACCAGCAGTGAGGGGGCAAAAAAAGTGTAGTAAAGCAGCAGGAGCAGCAGGTAATGAGAGAGGACGCGTATTTGCTCTGTAAAGTCTTGGAAGACCTTTGGATGACAGAAGAGGTCGCTGAGGGATCCCTCCTGAAGGTACCCTGAAGGTCAGACAGTGAAGTTCAGCCCCGTGGAGCACCACAGCCTCTTGAGGAAGCCCTTCATTACCACCTCCTCATTGCCATCTTAGCATGGAGTCATCAAATCCTAGAATGGTTTGGGTTGGAAGGGACCTTAAAGATCCCTTAAAGATTCCACTCCCCCGCTGTGGGCAGGGACACCATGCTCTTCTTCCTCTCCCCAAGGCACCTGACACAAAGCAAGCCGAAGGCACAGCATTTTTCCATGGATGCTGCTGTGCCGACTGCTGAATATAGCTGCCACTTTGGCAACACCTCAGTGCCTAAATCTGTCTAAGGAAGCCTCCATGTGGTCAGGGGCAAAAACAAACAAGTCAAAGGCCTCATTAGGGAACAAGTTCATCAGTTGTGGCTGGGGTGAAAGATAAAGCCCTTTGCTTTCCTGGGGCTCCGGAGCAAGCTTTCCTGTCTTGTAGCCTTTGCAGTCGCCTCACCTTGGAGTTGTTGCTGTTGACCCTGGTGTAGCTGCCACGCAAGCATAAATTGGATGAGAGCTAATTAACTGTCAAAACCCAGGGCAAAAGACAATAAACCCCTGCTTCACCTCCTGGTGGGTTTTAGTCTTTTCTCTTTGATGTGACAGCTTGTCCTCCATTCCTTTTGCAAACAACTCGCCATTGCAAAGGAAAGGCAATACAGCAAGGCAATCATTTACTGCCAGTGACAGCAAATAAACATGAAAAATGGGCTTTGAAATACTAAAGGACAATGATCAGAAAGGTTTCTTCTTTCATCCTAAATCATGATGTTTAGCACTTGGCTGTAGTATTAGAAGTTATTTA